TCTGGCCCCGATTCTGTTTGATTTAACCCAGGACAGGTGGTTGCCCTGCGCCCATGTCCTGGAGAAATGGGTCCCAGGCCCGCCTGCTGCGCCCGGGACAGTGGCCGACCGGCCCTGGGCCTGGGCACTACGGCTCTGAGCCGGTGTGGTGTAGACGCAGGTGTAGACGCAGGTGCAGCCGCAGGTGCAGCCGCAGTGCGGCCTCAGGCAGCTCACTGCCCCTTTTACCGGGAACACTCGCCTCTTCTTCCAGGAGGGGCCTTGGCTGGCTGTGCGGCCTCACCTGGCGGCCCTGGGCCTGCTGGCCCCACACCTGGGTCTCCAGGTGGCACAGTTGTAGAGTGAGGCTCAAGGGGCCACAGCTCCTGGGGGGAGGGGCGAGTAGGAGGCCTGCCTGCTTGTCCCTGCCTGCAGGCCCAGGGGTCGCCCTCACACTCCCGTGTCCCTGGCAGGGGCGCCCTTGGGCGGGCAGTGCCTCCCAGTCAGGCTCCAGCTGTCCTTGTGCCAGGGCAGCTAAGACGGGGCTGTCCTCCCCTGCCAGCCCCCTTCCTCCCCCTCCATCGGGGGCGCCTGGTTCACCCCGCGATGGCCGTTGAGGACCCCACTGCTGGTTGCTGCTGCTCAGCCGCTTGGCAGCGTGTTCTGGGTTTAGGCCAAGGGCTCCACTCCCAGGAAGTCGGGATGAGGTGGCCCTCCTGTCCCGGGGCAGGAGGTGGGCCCAGGGAGCTGGGGGAGGTCCTGTCAGGGGGCCTGGCCCACACCCCTCTGTGAGGCCCAGGGCCAGACTTGGGGTCCCAGCCCTGTGAGGCTGCAGACGCCATGAGCCCAGCCTGTCAGGGAAAGTCCCAGATGCAGCTGCCCCCTCTCCGTCTGCTCGGAGACGCGCTTATCTAGGACTCCTCGAACCCCAAAAACGAGCGCTCGGAACACACCCCCTCATTGCCCGGTGAGGGCACACAGGCATCTGTCCTGGCTGCTCACACGGACATGGGGTCAGGGAGACAGGCAGACACGGGCGTGCTGGGTGCTGGCGTGCTCACCCATACACATGGTGTTCCTGAGACACCTGGCCCCCCGGGGACTCCTGGGGTCCCAGTGCCCCCAGGGGACCTGCCCTGTGCTGACAGCGCCCGAGGCCCATCCCCCCCCCCCCCCCCCCCGCTTGCTCTGTGCAGACATTGTCCTGCCCCACAAAGGGGATGGGCAGTGGCCGGGCGGGGGAGGGGCTGGGCCCGTGGGAATAGACCTTCCGGGCCTGGGGGTGGGGTGTGCGCAGCGAGGACCTGCAGGGCCACCAGCCCAGGGCCCAGGCGCTGAGGGCGAGGCCCAGGGCTGGGGGACCTAGTCGTTAGCGGGGTCCTGGGAACAGCAGAGCCGGCCAGAGCACATTCCCCGGCCCTCCCGCCCCCACCAGCATCTCCCGGGGACGTGGGACCGAGCGGGGTCTCCGGGGGCAAAGCTGGGCGACGCGTATCGCGGAGGAGACCTCTGGGAGCAGATGGCCTGGGCCCACAGGTTGCTGCTGGGCGGGCGTGGGAGAGTGAGGTGTGGAGCAGACCCAGGCCTGGGCGCCTGATGGCTTCCTCCTACAGCCCCGCCCCGTCCAGTGAGGTGTCAGGCGACACCCAGGCCCCCAGGCCGGGCCTGCATCCCAGCCCTTCCTCCCAGCCCTGAGCCCAGCACCATTTGTTGAGATGTCTGGACTGGAGGGCGGGGGGTGGGCGTCAAGGTGGACAAGCTGCTGGGAGAGGCCTGGACCCTCTGGCCTCCGGCGAGCAGCCCTGGCTGCGGGGGTGGGGGCTCAGCAGGGACCAAATGGGCAGCCCCCTGGGGACTGGGACGCGTCTCCAGAAGCTGAGGCGTCCGTGCACCCCATTTCCCCGAAGCACCTGGGACGCGACTCAGAAGGTGCCAGAGCCACCTGAGGCCGAGCTGGGGGGGGGGGGGGGGGCGGTGCTTCTGTCCAACATTGGCGCTTGGCTGTCCGCCAGGTTCCTGCAAATGAGCGAGAAGCCGCCGTTACCCGGAGTAGCCTCAGCTCAGCCCAGCGCCCTTCCTCCTGCTGTGGGGGCAGAACCCCAGGGCACCAGGCTGACCACTCCCCTCCCCCGCGGGGGCCCGACTCCCACTGAGGGGAGTGCAGGTGCAGGCGGGGTCCTGGTCCCAACCCTCCCGGGGAGTCGCCGGGGTCGGGCCCAGAGTGGAGGCCCCTCTGACCAGCCCTAGCTGGAAGGTGCTGGGGGCGTGGGGGACGGGCCAGGGCCTCCTGCCAAGGGGCTCCTCCACGGCACCCAGCACCCTCGGGAGCACGGCTGTCGCATGCCCCTGCCTAGCGGGACCCAGGGCAACACATAACCCACCCCCCGCCTCTGCACCCCCCAGTGAGGCTGGGGGCTCAGGGCTGATTGGGCTCAGGGGGTCCAGTTTGCTGCACTCAGTGGTGGGCAGGGCAGGGGGCTCTGGGAAGAGCCTGTCGAGAGGGCCCTCCCCACCCGCACCCATACACCAGCTCTTCTGGGCAGGTGGGCACCGGGACAGGCAGTGACCTGGCCTCTGGGTCAGCCCTGGCTCGTGGGCCGGGTCCATTCCCTGCAGGTGTGGCTGGGATTCTGGCGCCGAGCAGAGCCGGTCGGCTCAGGGGTAGCCTTCCCTCGGCCCCTGGGACTGACCCCTCTGGGCCCTCCAGCTGTGGCCCCCCACGTCTCGGCCGCAGAGGATGGCCAGGTGTTCCAGGGCCTGCTGTGGCCCCACCTCAGACCCTCTCCAGCCCCGAGACCCACCTCCAGGGAAGTGGCCAGAGCAGCCCTCGTCCACCCTCCTTCGCCCGGGGGCTGCAGGGGCAGAGCACCAGGGGGCCCTGGCAGTGCCCAGGCCCGGCCCTCGTGGTGGCCCCGCACGTGGGCTCCTGCCCGGCCCCAGGCTGTCCCTGGGCTGCCCTGAGTCAGGCGGCACTGGGCGGGTGCTGGCTGCTTGCCGCCTCCCAGCCAAGCCGTGGGAACCAGGAGAGCAGGCGGACCCCTGGGACTGGGAGCCAGCAGCCTTCCCAGCCCCTCCTACCCACTCACCTGGCCCTGCCCTCCCAGCCGGGCTCTGGGGGCGGCAGCCAGCCCAGCCCTGCCCTCAGGCTTCCTCGCTGTGTGGGGGGGCCTGGACAGTCTCTCTGCCCAAGGCTGGGGTCTGCCTGGGCCCCAGGAGGTGGGGTGGCTCCAAGGCCCTGTGCACACTCCCCTCGGCCAGCAGGGCTGTGTGGGGTCCTGGCCGCCGGGCCCTGGGACTGGGCAGGTCAGTCCCTCAGGCGCCCTTTTCTTCCCAATGGGAGGCCAGAGGCGCCGCTGCCCCCTGGGTGTCAGAGAGCCCTTGGGTGGACGGGCACTGAGCCCAGCCCTGAGCCCCCGGGGCCGCGCACAGGCTCGCGCGAGGGGCCACGGCCCCCCAGCAGTGGGCAGGCAGAGTGCAGCACCTCGGAGTGCATGGGAGCCAGAGCCGCAGGGGAGCCGGGTGCCAGGTCTCCTGCTGTGGGAAGCAGGGGCGGGGGCGGGGGGGGCAGGAACCGGCTTTTCCAGCCGTAGGGTGGGGTGGGGTGGGGGCAGGGCTCTCAGGGCCTATCGGGGTGACAGTGGGCACCAGCCGTGGGAACTCTGGCACCGGTGGTTCCCGAGGGTGTGGCCAGGGCCCTGTGGATGGCACCGCGTGTGCCTGCTGCCGTGACTCAGCGTGAGCTGGCCGCCCCGCCCAGGCGTGCACACTGGCCCGGGTCCTGGGAAGCTGGCGACCCTCACAGAGGCCCTCCCGGCCTGCGCTCTGCCCCTGCTGCTGGTTGGTCCTGCGTCTGCTGTCTCTCCGTGGCCTGTCCCTCGGTGGCCTGGACAGGGAGAGCAGGGCCATGGCAGGCGGCTCAGGACAGCTCAGCTGGACCTGGAGTGACCACAGGCCAGACCTCAGCCAGGGCTTGGCCTGCACTCCTGGCCCCAGAGCCCCGTAGACCTGCCACCAGGGACACGGCACAGCCTCCCTGTGCCAGAGGCTGAGTGGGGGGCAGGAGGCTCTTGGGGTGGGGCGGCTCTGCGGTGGGATCAGCCCTGCCTCCCCATCCAAGTCCCCCCAGCAGAGGCGGCCCACCCACCCGGGAGTCCCTGCCACCCACCCTCGCCTGCCAGCTGCAGAGCCGGAGACCAGCAGGGAGGCCCCAGGTGGAGCTCAGGGTGTCGAAAGGCCGTGGGAAAGGGTGTGTGGGGGCAGGGCGGCACTGCCCTGACGTGGGCTCACCTGCAGCTCCCGGGCCTGAGGCCACCGCCTACCCACCGGCCCCAGAGCCATGTCACCAGGGCACTTCCAGCTCACTCAGGAGGGCGTCCCTCCTGCAGCCTAGGAACCCCCCCCCCCCCCCCCCCCGCCGCCCGATTTCCACGGCGGGAAGGGCTCTGACCAGTGTGCTCTGCATACCCACCCAGGAGCCGAGTCTCCATGGGTGCAGACCCTCACCCGCTCCCATGCCCCACACCCGTCACCCAAAGGAATCCTGGGATCCAGACCCTCCCCTGGGGCAGCTGCATGGGGAGGGCAAGGTGGACCCCAAGCCTTGCTCGCACCCCGGGTTGACTGGCTCACAGGAGCCCACTGTGGGGCCTGGACAAGGACCCTGCACAGCAGCAGCGCGACTTCACCCCTGACCCCGCGGGGACTTGGTGCAGAGAGAGGCCTGGACACTGAACTGGCCCTGGCAACCCCCGATGGGCCGCAAGGTCAGGGCAGCCGTGGTGTGGGCCCTGCACCCCCTGGGCCGGCCAGGGAGGACACCAGGCAGTGGCTGGGCCCTGCAGGGTCTCAGGAGCCAGGAGAAGCTGCAGGCAGGGAGGGCTCCCAGGAGGTGGTGCACCCGGGTCCTGCCGGGAGCGGGAGGGACGTGTTGTCTACAGGAAGCACCCTCCAGACCCAGAGCTGCGAGGAGCAGGGTGGAGGGGGGGGGCGGGAGGCCCCCCTCAGCCCTGCTCTGTCCCCAGGCCTGTAACTGTGACCAGTACCTGAAGGTCTCCAGGGACCTGATGACACAGCTCGTGGGGCTCAGTGGCCAGGGAGACCCCAGCAGCGCCGGTGAGTGTGCCCCAAGGCTGGCGGGACCCCGCTGCTGGCTGCCCCTGGGCTCCCTTGCAGGGGTGCGGGCGGGGCGGGCAGGTGGGGAGACAGCACCCTGCAGGCTTGGGATGCGAAGGCTGCTCTGCAGGAGAGGACGCCACGGCCACAGGGCCCGCTTGGTGCTGCCCAGCCGTCCGAGCACACGCGGCCTCAGCAACACGAACCAGCGGGGCCTGGGCAGACGGAGCAGGACAAGCCCAGCCACCCACCCGCCAGGGCCGGTCCAACCCAGCGCCCAGCCTCAGTTTCCCTTTTTGGAAACTTAGAAAGAGGAGGGTGGCCATGACGTTGCGGCTGGTCGGTGAACGGGCCCTGTCCTCGGCCACTGTCTCCTGCCTCCGGGGAGAGGGGCCCGGTGAGAGCCATGCAGGGACCTCTGGGGTCTCTGGGGGGACGGGGTGGATAAGGGGCATCTTAGGGCCCTCTTGTGGGGTCATCCTGAGGCCAGGGTGCTTCTCTGGGAACCTGACGTCCCACCCAGCTGCTCCTGTCCTTCCCGCCTCTCTCTGAAGTGTGGGGTCAGCGTAGGGGCCCCCACACCACGGGTGAGCCGTCCTGGCAGCCCATGTCCACCCCAGTTAAGGCCCGGGAGGGAAGGACTTGGCTGTGCCCTCCGCAGGGCCCCCTGTCACCCCCAGGCTCTCGCTGGTGTGGGGGGGGGGGCGCGCCCATGCCCGTCTAGTGCCCCAGGAACCACTAGGGAAGGGCCAGGGTCAGGCCGGGCCGAGCAGAGAGGCCAGATGGAGGTCGTGGCCTTGCTGGGCTCCAGGAGGCCATGGGCTGAGGGGCGTCCCCTACTCAGACCCCGGCCCAGCTCCTCCGGGGCCAGCTGTAGGGAAATGTCTGCCAAGCAAATTACGAGGGCGCACAGGGCGGGGAGGCTGCTCCTGCCGGCTGAGCTGGGCACCCTGAGCTCCAGCAGGGGCCCCAGGTCCCGCCACCTGCCCTGGTGCCGATTGTGCAAGGACTCCTGGTAATGGCTTATCTGCTCATCACACGCGGGCCGCCCGCAGGCCCCTGGTGCCTGAGACCTTTGAGCCCCAAGAACCGTCCAAGGCGTGCGTTCCCATGGGCTGGGCCTGGACTGGCACTGACGCCTCTTGCCCCTGCCCTTTGGCCCTCGCCCCCGGGGGTGAGGGCGAGGCTGGGCTGCCAGGGCCCGGTTCTCAGGGGTTCCTGATGTCCTTGATTGACAGGTGACAAGGCCCAGAGCGAGGACACACAGGAGCCAGGTGAGCACTGGGACGGCCCACGGAGGACGCCGGGCCCGGCACCTGGCCTGCCCTGAGACCGGGTTTGGGTCCGGCCCCGTAGAGGGACCACCGGAGGGGACGGTCCTGTGCCCGGGGCTGGCGGGGTCAGTGGTGGGAGCGAGGGGGAGGTAGGGTGGGGTCCCTGGGGAGGGGAGGAGAGGGGTGGGCGCCGGGAAGCCAGGCCTCAGGTGGCTGCCTCCACCCACCCAGGCTCCGCCCCCGGGGAGACGCCGGGCCTCACATATGACCCCCCCTGCCGCTGGCTGGAGGCGGCGGAGCTGCGGGCCCGCGACCCGGCCACGCTGGGCAACGGCACGCGGCTGCAGCTGGCGGGGGTCCCGGCGGGCGTGCTGCGGCGGCCAGGCCTGCGCCACTTCTTCTGCTGCTCCGGCTGTGGCAAGGTCTTCTGGGAGGGCTCCCACCTGGGCCGCGTGGCCTCGCAGTTCCACGACGTCCTGGCCGGCCCCCCCGGCTCCCAGGAGCCCGGCCCGGCCCCAAGCCCCTCCTGAGGCGCCCAGGCCCACGGGCCTGCCTGTGACAATAAAAGCGGAAAAGGCCGCACCTGCGTGGGCCCGGCCGTGCATCATTGCTCACACCTGGCGCCCGGCTGTGGGCCGAGTGGCTTCCACGTGTCGGCGCCGGCGCCTCAGCCGGGGCTGCCCTGTGCTCGGGTGGGGCGGCAGGGCGGGCAGGGCTTGCCTGGGAGGAAACGGTCTGGGCAGCGGCCCAAGGGCCGGACGTGGTGGCTCCCACGTCCGCTGGAGCCCAGTGAGACCTGAGGTGGGCAGGGGCAGGCCAGCCCCAGGCGCTTGCGGCCCACCCACCAAGCCACCCTCTCCACCCCACCCTCTCTGCCTTCTCACGCCAGGAGCCAGCCCCCTGGCCAGGCAAGGGCCCCCGTCCCCCACCCCGCTCAAAGGAGCATGGATGGTGGTGTCCTGGGGTCACTCTCTAGGGAATGGGCCCAGTGTACCTGGTGCCCGCGGCAGGCAGGGCAGCCACCCTGGAGGAGGGGCCCCTGCTCTGCACGCTGGCTCCCGGCTCTCCCTCCCTCACGCCTGGTCAGGGCTGGTGGCCTCCTCTTGGGAGAGAAGCCAGTGACCACGTTACAAGT